AACGTACGTTGTAGTTTTACTAACGTTATCTAAATATAGTCTGAGTATATATAGTTGAATATGTCAATAGAAAAGCCGGAGTTTATTTAGGGATTTAACGTTTCATGTAAAATATATAATGTGAGTATCTCATTTCATTATATATAAATACAGTACATGGAGCAGAAACTGGAATTGATAGGATTAGATAAACAACCTCGGCACAAATTATTTTACTGGTAATTTTTTTTTTATACTCATTAATATCTTTATGGAAACATACATTTAACCGTATCAATTAAATAGTAAAAGTAAATATTGAAATTTGATTGTGAAACATTTGTGATGTGAATGTGACCTTTCGTACAGCTGGAATATGAAGATTGAAATACAACATGAGCTGACGTCATCAATCATATAGCAGGTACAGTAATACACATATGTAGCACTACCCATATACAATGAAGACCTAAATGGACCTATACTTATATGTAACTAGTTGTGGCCGGTACACCTGTGATACCCAAATACACACGGTATACGTATACCTACCTGCAGGGCGCTATATACACATTGCATGAGACTCGCACAGGAAACTATGAAACAGAATATAGCTTCATTAGATATGCAGCTGTATCTTATTTTGGAATAATCATATATAGATTTCGACGTTTTACCTGGTCTGAAGGAAGGGGGCGGGACAGGGGACGGGGACGGGGAGGTGGAGGCGGGTAGGGGGCCTGTTCTACTGTATAATACTGCGCGGAGGTCGTATCGGGCCCCGCCCCATTATAGAATGTCTTCTGTATACTCCGTTTTGGGGACACTTATATTGCACCAATGACAACATTTGGATCTGTGTCTTTTTCGGTTTACCCCGTTTCCAGTATATATATATATGCCTTTCTTTGCATACGCACCTATAATGTCATGCATCTCTGTTAATGGGCGGTTATCAAAACTCTTTGTTCTGTTTGGTTTTAAGGCCCAGCAAGGATATACCTATTTAAGGGTAGCTTATTCATTTATTCATTTCACTCAAGTTTATGTCTGAGTTAGTTATTAATATACGCTATGGTTGTTATGTACGAAGACTGTATGGTAATTTTTCCTTGAAAACAGACGTTTATAATCTTGTTACTTTTACAAATACAATGCGTTTTGTGATATTTTGCATTCAAACTATACTTTGTAGTTATAAGCAAATAATGTTTTGAATTTGACTTTGGAAACTATTATATTGCGAAAAACATTCTGGCTTTGTATATTGTATTGGATGGGTATGGAATTGTTCACAAAACTTACAATGTTTAAAAAGAAGGAAGAGTGAAACCCTACCCCCACCCCTACCCCCAGGCTCTACCCCCACCCCTACCCTCAGGCTCTACATAACAATTCGGTCATTTCTTTTGATTAGCAACATTGTTTTCATATAAAACCTAAAAATTATGAAAAAGTGAGAGAAAAAAATATTGGTATCGATGCAACCAACCTACTTTATCTTAAGGACCGGGTTCCCTGGGAATCAGTTTCTGTATAAAGGGGGATTAAAGCTCCCTGGACGCTGAGGGGGCAATTAATGCCTAAAAGGTTAAATATTTTAAAGTCTTCTCCTGCAGACCAATTGATTGCATTTCAGCCAAACTTTCTGTGAAGCATCTTTGTGGCCTTGAAATGAAGTATTGTATGAAGAAAGGGTGTTTTCTTGATACCAGTCTTGATATTAAGAGCACAAACACATAGTAGGAAAGATTTGCAGTTTGATGATAATTTTACCAGGATTGCTATATATCTAGTTGAGAGATACAGGCCCATTTGGCCTCTTGTTTCGAAAAGTAATTAAAAAGTGCCGTCATATCATACGCGAAACTTGTGACACAAATTATAACCACACCTGTTCCGACCACATGACACCTGATAGATCTACACAGGTAGATGTACACCATGTGACCTACACCCGGGGGCTACAGCAGTCTCTCAAATTGTCTGTCACAAACCAAGTCACGACTAATCTGAATGACCTGCCTCTCCTCGTCATTTATACACGAGTCTAAATTAGTCGCCGGAGAAATTACACTTACATTGGAGGACGGTAGCGTAGCTAGAGGTCATTGGGTTTTTTTCCCAATACGTCCGTTAAGGATCGAGCCCTGGCCATCTAGTTCACTAGTCTTACTCTACGGAATTCTCCCAAGCCTATAGTCAATAGAAAGCGGGTAGTATTTTATTGGGCTGACCACGGACTAATCTAATTCCGTGGGCTGACATATACAATTCAAGTTCAAATTCTTTATTATTTTAAGTCGGTTGACTTATCAGTTATAACATATATACAAAACAAAATGATACAAAGACAACATACCCCATGATACACACACAGTGGAGAGATATAAAACACTTATATATTTTCTCATCTGAATTAAATATAATTCGTTACTCTACAAATATTGCTGTCGGCGGGGTCGTCGATTGCGATGATGTCATACGTCATACTCAGATGACGTCATAGACAACGCGTAGCAAGGAGTGAAAATTATACGGTCAACTTTATAATTAATATTTTTATATCAGTATTATGTAGGTGTTAGATATTTTGAAACAAGCTTCTGTTCGTCCGTAGTTCCTCAGCCCCATACAACTCTACACTTCATACGCCGCAATATATCTATCTTAATGTGACCGAGCTTCTAAAAAAGTAAATTACAGCTAGTACACGACCTATGTGGCTAGTCATTACGTCACCTCCCACTCAGTATTATATACACAGCTACGTAATCACTTGCCACGACGCTTACTTATTGATCCGTTAACACGGGTATGTTATTCATGGTTTATAATACGTCCCGCCCGGATAACACGAAACACTCCACAATATGCCTGTCCTCAAAAGCCGATTTATTGCATACGATCTAAAAATAGAACACAAATTGCAACTGTGTGTATTTTAGTCAACAGGTACGCCAGACTATGTACGTGTGAATATACCATCACATGATAAGATAAAACCTGCAGTGCCACTTGAGGGCGCTCCTGGTCCATGTTACCTAATACGCGTACTCGTTAAACATGTTTCTATACAATTATAGATTACACCGTTACAAAGCTGAAGGCCCAACCGTTAGGATATTAGTCTTGCGTAAGTCTTGTTTAAAATAACAACACGTCATTCACGTGGATCGTTTGGTAGATTTATAATCTTAATGATATGGCATAACAAAAGAGATTAACTCAATTTAGATGAGGGAGGGGCTATAAAGCCCTCGCCCCACCCGAGGTAACATTTAGGTTCGTCTGCTGGATAAACAAACTACTCGGTAGTGAAGCGGACGTAAAACCTATCAATCAATCAATCAACCGAGGTAGAAAAATAAATCTAAAAGCACTTTTATAAAATTTAAGGAAATTTGTTAGTGTGCATTTTTTGTAATGTAATCAACTCTTACGTTATTTCATATTAATTTCATATTAAGCACATACTTTAGAATCATAGCCAAATAAAAACAAATACTAGAAACATCGTCGAACATAGCGAGGCAAGTTTAATTTTCTTTTTTTTTCTCATAACAAAATACAAATTTAATTTGGAGGAGGAGGGGCTGTGAGGGGGATGGGTGGGGGACTAAATGAAATCTATCGGACACTTTTTAATAATGTAATAAACTTCTACGTTATTTCAATTTTTTTCCATGTTTAGCATATTCATTGGAAACAAAGCAAAATAAAAAAACTTACTATCTCTGGTTTTGTTTTTGCTGGTTCTCAGCATAAATGTGGATGTTCAAACAAAATTTTGAACCCTCACAAATCATGGACCCCATAGAGTGAAGTAAGAATGCCCCATGTGTTGTGTAATCTCGTTCCTTATGTGTAATTCTGCATGTAGAAGTTGTACATGTGTACAATGGTGTGTTATGTCTCGAGGGCGGGGGAAATGGGCATTGTCTTTGTAAGAATCTAAAAATCTATAATCAAAAGCAGGTTTTTCAACATTGATTTTAAAAGGAATAGTACAGTTAAACAAAGAAGATGATATATCTATACATATTTTTTAATTTCTGTTCAGTTTTGTTATTTTAGCTTGGTAAGTATAGACGATGTTGTAATGTATGTATAAAACTGGCGTTATCAAGGTGAAGAAAATATACATTGCCCACATCCCCATTGTCCATATATTATCAAGATAAATAGGTCTGAACTACGGGTATTATATCTGTGTCACCAATCATTATCAAGGTATAGACTAATGTTATCAAATTTGTTCCAAAATAAAATCAATCGTCAATTGGTTGTATCAGCGTTTCGATTTTGACAATTAATTTATGATTCAGCTGGGTCAAAGTTGTGTTATTTTTTTTTGTATTGATTCAGAATGCAGTAGACTCTATAACGTCGTTCAAAATTTGATATCATTTGTATGTTATTTGTATGTTATTTCAAGATTAGAAGTCACGAGACATTGCTTCTGATATTTTTTCGGGAGTTCTAAATCCACGTCAATGACATCTGCTACTATCAGTAACATTTGTGGATCCTNGGGGGGGGCTTAAAGTTTTATTAAAATCGTCCAGGAAAAGTCTCTAGATTTGCTACTACCACCGGTGCAATTATAAAAATCTCGTCATCGTTTAAATTAATTGGCACCGATGACATGCCTAGATTGAAAACTATTTCATGGAAACTAAAAAGTTGATCCCTCTGACTATCAACTAATGTATTGCTGCAAAAAGAGTTAGAGTAACGTCCCTTCCTTTTGTATGACTGCGCCAAACATCCAACCACGAACTACTTTCTACGAAATAAACATCGAAGCAAGGTACCTTATTTCTTGTTTGATCCACGTATTCTGACAATGCCAGTGTTGGATTCGAATGCTATTTATAACGGAGACAAAAAATGATAATGATTCATTTGTCATTAAATCGTGAAAATAGCGCATTCACAGAAAATATTTGCAACAAGAACTATATCGTTGCGCGGAAGGGTAGATAATGCGTAGAATATAAATAGCCGGTGCCCTTCGGATCATTAGTTGTCATTCAGGCAGCAATCGGCAAGGTCTATTCATATAATGTTCTATAGCTTCAAATACAGTGACTGTGAAAGGATCGTTTTCTTAAATGTCAGCGAATGTCAGTTCAACGGTGATGATGGTGGTGGACTCAATACGGGGTGAGAGTAATTTTACGCGCAAAAGCAACACATTGGGTGAGTTACATCGCTCTAACGATGAGATAGAAACTAGCGAAAACTTTGACAGATGTCCGATTTCCCCATCGGGGCCTCTTGCGATAAGGCATGAGAGCGAGGCACAAGAGGGGAGCGAATCCGAGAATCAGTACGACGGAAACGGCAAGAAAAAGCGGAGGAGGAGGATGAAGGGTGGCAAACATCATCGGAAATGGAAACCTTATGACAAACTGAGCTGGAATGAAAGACGCGAGCTGGAGGAGAGGGAAACGGTACGTGCCAATCAAAAGCGCGAGGAGGCGTTCGCACATGGACACCCAGTGGCTCCGTATAACACGACACAGTTTCTTATGGAAGACCACATTAAAAACGAATCCCTAAATTCGCCATACGTGCAGGAGGACGAAGAGGAGCACCTGAGTAGACACGATTCGAGGGAGTCTAGGAGTGGGTCACGGTCGAGCGATTATTCGGACGAAACTACTTCAACTAGTAGTGAGGATGAAGATCATTTCATGGAGAAAGAATTTTCTGAAACCTATGACAATATTCATGCGGAAAGGTTACAGATGATGAGTAAGGACGAACTTATTAAAGACTACGTAGAGATGGAGGCAAAACTTGAACGTTTAGAGAAAAGATACAAAAACAAACGACAGAAGCGCGAGTCAAAGAACAACAGTTCCGCTTCACTGAGCAGCGAGGGGGAGGAATCCGTGGACTTGGAAGCGGCCAGGAAGTTTGAAGATGAAAACAAGTTGTTGAAGGACGAAAATTGCAAGCTGAAGAATGAACTGACGAAAATAATGCACTGAATTACTGCATATTTGTGATATTTAAAAAGTCAAATATAATTTGATTTTTAATTAGAATCCAAGTGGATGTCTTTTAAGTGTTGGAACAGAGATTGTACCTAACATAACATGTAAGATATTACAAGTCTATGTTATGTTTGTTTTATCGAGATGAGAAATGGCACTTGTTTTTGTATTTGTTGAGTTTTTTATAAGAATTTAATTCTCAGTTTTTGAGAATGTATCATTGCTTCCATAAAGTTTGTCTCGTAATATTGACGAGTTTTGAGGATAAGTACCGTCTTTGATGCATTTTAAGGCTTAAATTTCAAGATTTTTATTATGAATATCTTGTTTTATAAGTAATTTTGGTTAAGAAGGTGTGTACGCAATAATAACTCTTTAAATCTGTTGAATGCAAATCACAAATGGGAGGTACAGAGGTATGTACTGTATTTAAGTAATTTAAACAGTCATTGTGGTTAGGTTTTAAACTTGCAAGGTCTCGTTATATATATGTTGACTGACTGTCGAAACATAATTCAAATACAGCTAGAAAGATCGGATAAGGTGGTTCCTTGGATTTTTTATGATCAATAAAAAAATGTAGTATTGGATTAATCTGATTTCATAGACAAACAGTTAAAATTAAATATAAAATGTATCAATAATTGGGAGTCTGGCAGAAAATTGAGATTTTTTTTTTTTTAAACCTTTGGAGTTGGTCAAAGGAATTTTTTTTCAATAAAAATGATCGATGTTGAAATTTTTTGTTAAATCTTTACAAATACAGATGCATGCATATCAAGTCTTTGTATGTTTAACTGGTTGGTGACAAAGTCTCGCTAGAGTACTAACTCTTGTCGCAGCACAAATAATTGACTTGATTTTTTTTTTATCAAACAGAGGAGTGCTGAGACAAACACATTTTCTGTAAGTTGTGTTGGGGGGAAAAAATAGAATTTTCTGTTTGCTCGGCTGACAAATGGTACTTGGCCAGAATTTGTCACCAATTAGTACACAAAAAATATGTCCATTTCCATGTTGGTTCTATTTTCTTATCAAATGTGATTCCATCTCGAGAACTTATTCCTTGTTTTGGATGATAGCTTAGAAATGTTAGAAAAGTTTTCCATATGATTTGTTATGCGATGGTGCTAAAATAAATTGTCATCATTATCATAACATGTTAGATGCACTTTATTTCAAATTTCAATTTCGTACGAATTGATATGCATGATAAAATGCTGCGTTTATTTGAATGTGAAAGGGCATTATTATTTTACACATTGATGTTTTAAATGTGAGTGTTCTACTGAAAGTGAGTTTAAATGTTCAGGCTTGTACATGTATATTGTAAAAATGAATTTTGAAAAGGGAAAGTGTGCATGAACTGTGCAACAAATAAGTGCAGATCTGAAAGTGAAAATATGCTGAATACAAGTTTACGATTAATTGGTCCCTTATTGGTTGTTAGATGGCCTATAATATGTGGCATTTTATTAACTATTGACATCCATTTGTCATAGTCCTTCGAAAAACTTTTTATTAATTTTTTTGTTCATGTTTTGAATAAGAAATTAATAGGTGAAAAAAAAATTCAAAACCCCAGCAAATTGTTTACACTTTTTTTGTTGTTCAAAGATGTTTATTTTTATACAAATTTTGTTGTTGACGTATTACAACGCACAGTTATTTGTGAATACATTCATTGCTACCGTGTCTTTCCTTTTTCAAGTCATCATGCAAGTCGTTTCATTGTTCATCTTCGCATTTATTTTAGTTGGTGCTTCAAGTACTGTCTACTTTTCTTGTACAAATTTGTTATTCATTATGAAGCATTGAGTAATTTGGAGCATGCTGAATAATTTCTGTGTTGGTTAAGTTTCTTCAGAATTGTTTGACCATTTTATGTAGTAGGGGTGAAACTATGCATATAATTCTGCTGTGTTTGGGTTGTTGACAGGTGATGTTAATTGCAGCTTGAAAATCTATTATAATAATAACTCTACAGATTGATATAAATCAATATATTCCTTTATAATATGACCGGTTATTTTCAAAATTTCACCCTTACTATGTAGACTAGATATATGTAGCCATTGAAAACTTCAAATTTTGTTCATAAATGGGTATCATCTGCAGAAATAATACCTTACTAACTAACAAAACCATTCTAATAAAAAATAATCTGGTTTAGAAAAAGAACTGATCGTATTTTCAATTATTATAAAAACTTGAGTTCTTAGGGTTATGGATACACATGATGATTCATGTACATATTGTTTTCCCAAATAAATTTTAAAAGGATTGTTTAAAATTAGCAATGGGCGTCGCAGCAAACTAGATTATTAAAAGTATTCTTTGTGATATATTGGCTGTTAAAACAATATCTAGGATTATAACCTCCACAAACCAAGTGGAGATATAATTTTGGGAGAAATAATTTGCACATCAGCATTATGAGAAAGTTGTACCCCTTTTTTAGCACAGCAGGAGGTCCTGTGTAAAACACTGGCAGTATTGAGCTATCATCTTGCACGATACAAAATATAAAAACCTTCCTCGGTAACATTTTTTTTCATTTCTTTACAAGGACATGTTGCCACTTGATAAATAAATGACTTTATACTGTTATTAGTATAGAAATCGAAATGTACATTTGTATATGGAATAGTTAAAATCTGTTAGTCAATTTCTTTATAATTAACAAGGTTCCTCTTGGTGAAGGTAAAATGAGTATGTACCTACTTTAAGTTGTATAAAGAGAACATTTTCCCAACAATTTAAATGGTATACATTTGAATTGTTTTCCTACAATTTTGATTGGATCGACCAAATCCCGAAGATTTATGCTCGAAATTTATACTTGTGTGTTATATTAGTGCTCCTGAAATGAACATCAAAGTTTTCATGTGTACATGTATGTGTACAGACAAAGCCCACCACTGCCAAGTATGCTAGGGGAGACAACTCTGTTTTATACAGATGGTTTCTTCTCTATCAATTAATTGCGGTTAGAATATTGAATACTACTGTCTACTGTTCTCAAAATTAACACAAACTATTAGTCTAGTTTACTAGTCTGTATATTTGCTAAAAGTTTGATGTTTTCATAGTGTTTGTTCCGTCAACAGGTTAAGACTTGAATTTGTTGCATTTTAGCTGTGTCTCCTGAAAAACGAATAATACTTTGTAAGTTTATTTCAATTTACATACTGAAATAAATATCTCTTAAATATATGCTTAATTAGCTATGCATATGTACCGTCATTTGCTGTACATAGCTAATTGTGATTGTCAACAAAAACATAAAACTTTAAACGAGATGCATGCACAAAGTTATAAATTAACATTTTTTGTTTTCAAAAGTTGTAATTTATCTGAAATAACAAACTGGAAAACATACTTTAATGGGTGGAAGAAGTTATGCTTCAAGTAATTGCTAGTTTCTAATTAAACAATGTTGAATGAAGTCTTGTGTTTATGCATTCTTCTGGTTAAACTTTTTTTGTGTTTAGGGGAAAAAAATCGTTTTCCTGCAAACTAATTTGAGAATCTCTTCTTGTATTTCCCATGATGATGAAATATCTTTACGAGTGTCTTTGATGTTGAAAGGATTATACAAATTAAGTTGGATATGCTTCAATAGGATTTATTTCAAAATTATCTTGTGTAGCAAAATGAAATGAACAGGTACACATGCTGTTGGCTTCTCCAACACAGTTTACCACTATTTTAACACCCAGAAATAATCTTTGACCAGTGTCCATGTATTTTTGTATGTGGAGAAATAATGGGAGATATATTCTTTAATCATGACATGTATAAAGTTACAACAATTTACAATGTTGACAATTTTATTAAATGATGAAAAAGTTTTGATGTTTTGATTTTATCGGTTTTAAGAAATTTAGTTGCCCTGCATTCCCTTATGGCTAGTTTAAATTCACTGATCATCAATTTTCAGTAAAACTGTTGGACTGGAAAATTCATGGAATACCCTGATCTACAAATGAATGATATATAGGATCTTGCATGAGTTTCCATTTCGTATGAGATTTATGAAACGAGTCTTGAGAATTTTTCAATTTAGCGTGCCTCTGGCGAGCTATGATGAAAAATTTGTGACAAGTTTCATAAATTTCATATGAAATGAAAACAAGTGTAAGATCCTTTTTATCGCATCATCAAGATTTATTCATGTAAAACCACAATTTTCATGCATCCTCACCTTGAAATGTAAAAGCAGCCATTTTGACCCCAGTGCACAAGTCTGTGACGACGTGTACTTGTCCTAGGTGTGACATCGCAATGGAAACTTGCAACCAATCACAGGGCTGATAGATCATATTACATGGGTTAAAATGCAAAATCATGACATGTTCACTGGATAACACAGTACATTATGTGATGAAAGTATTTAGTTGATATGATTTGTTCAGTTGAGGGGGCCTCAGTGTCCAAGTGGTGAAGGTGTCCGACATTCTGCTACCACTAGCCCTCCACCACTGGGTCACAGGTTCAATACCTAAGTGGGGCAGTCGGAATGAAAGGATTTGGTCCATCTTTGGTGTGGAGCATCCTTGGGTAAAGGGGAACCAATTTTGTATAAGAAGTGGGTGTGGTCTCCAAAGGGGCAGAAGAGCGGGCCCAATAGGGGAAATGGAGGTAAACCTTTAAAATCCTTCTACCTATTCTACCATAGGGATGAAGGGATTTCTTCCTAATTTCGTCTGGAGGATCTTGGACAAAAGGGACTTAATTTTGTGAGTGAGTGAGTGTGGCCCCCCTTGGGGCAGAAGGGCAGGGGCCCAATAGGGGAAACATAGCAAATTCTTCAAATACCTTTTTCGGTACGAATGACGGGATTTTGTCCAAATTTGGTATGAAGCATCCTTGGGTGAAGGGGAACCAATTTTGTATAAACGGTGTGTCTAACCCCCCTGGAGGCAGAGAGGCGGGCCCAATAGGAGAAATAGAGGTAAAACCTTTAAAATCCTTCTTTTACCATAGGGATTAAGGGATTTTATCCTTATTTAGTCTGGAGCATTCTCGGGCCAAGGGGACTCAATTTTGTATAAACGGTGGGTATGACCCCCCTTATCAGGTGCATAGGGATGGGGCTCTGTTTGAGGTTTGTTCTTGCTATATCTCAAGTACTGGATGGACCTGTCTGAAATTTCATATGTACTTGCAGCACCTACCATGGAGTGCTAAATCTTTACTTCATACCAATTATTTTAAACATATTCAGGTGAGCGATACAGGGCCTCTGGGACTCTTGTTTTCTGTAGGAATGACAGGATTTTTATTAAATTTTAGATGAAGCACCCTTGGGTGAAGGGGAACCAATTTTGTATAAACAGTGGGTCTTGCCCCCCTCCCCCCTTTGGTGCAGAGAGGTGGGGCCTAATAAGGGATATAGAGGAATAGCTTTAATATCCTTCTTCTTCCGATGGGATGAAGGTATTTTCACCAAATTTTAACAGTAGCATCTTATTTGGAAGGGAAATCAATTTTGTATAAATGGTGGGCTTGAACCCCCTGGGGCCTGAGGGTCGAGGCCCAATAGGGTAAACAAAGCAAATTCTTTAAAATCCTTCTTCCTCTATAGTAATGATAGGATTATGTCCATATTCGGTCTGAAGCATCATTGGGAGAATGGGACATCATTTTGTATCAATGATGTGTCGGACACCCCTGAGGGCAGAGCCCTATAGGAGAAACAAAGCAAATTCTTTGAAATCCTCCATTTTCTTTAGGAATGACAGGATTTTGTCCAATTGCATATAAATATAACCCCTGACTAACCCTGTAATACATGTACTCTTCCAGTAACATCTGGCTATTCTTACTTCAATTTTGCTAACATTTCCAAGTGAGCGATACAGGTCCTCTGGGCCTCTTGTTCTAGTTTATTTTAAAAGGTCATATAAGGATAGTGCCCAACCAGTAAGGCATTCAAATTTTCAAGCCCCGGAGAGCTTATCGAGTATGGTATAACATCATAATGCTACGTAATGCTCTAGGAAATAAACATGATCATATCTAAATATCTGTGTGTATAGCGCTAAGAAATTGGATTTTTTTTTTATCATAGCCCCATTGTCAAATTTGTACATTATTTTTTTCTACTAGCCAGGTGCTATGGGGCTATTGCTAATTTTGCACACTGGCATTGTATTTTATCTGCTCTAGCTCATACTCGGGAGCCTATTCCCTTGTTACACATACGTTACTTGTTGTAAGCCTGTCCCTTTGTTATACAGATTTTACTTGTGGTAATTGGCCCACAGACTCGGCACTCGGGTAAGGACACACAAATTCAGTAATACTTAGCCCAACCCTTTTTATACCGATGTTACTTTGGTAAGCCCACAAACATTCAGTAATACTTGGACCAACCCTTTCTGTAACGATGTTACTTTGGTAAGCACACAAAAATTCAGTAATACTTGGCCCAACCCTCTCTTTACCGATGTTACTTTGGTAATCCCACAAACATTCAGTTATACTTGGTTCAACCCTTTCTATAGCGATGTTACTTTGGTAAGCACACAAAAATTCAGTAATACTTGGCCCAACCCTTTATATAACGATGTTACTTTGGTAAGCACACAAAAATTCAGTAATACTTGGCCCAACCCTTTATATACAGATGTTACTTTGGTAAGCCCCTAAATATCTGTGTGTATGGCGCTAAGAAATTGGATTTTTTTTTTATCATAGCCCCATTGTCAAATTTGTACATTATTTTTTTCTACTAGCCAGGTGCTATGGGGCTATTGCTAATTTTGCCCACTGGCATTGTATTTTATCTGCTCTAGCTCATACTCGGGAGCCTATTCCCTTGTTACACATACGTTACTTGTTGTAAGCCTGTCCCTTTGTTATACAGATTTTACTTGTGGTAATTGGCCCACAGACTCGGCACTCGGGAAAGGACACACAAATTCAGTAATCCTTAGCCCAACCCTTTTTATTCCGATGTTACTTTGGTAAGCCCCTAAATATCTGTGTGTATGGCGCTAAGAAATTGGATTTTTTTTTTATCATAGCCCCATTGTCAAATTTGTACATTATTTTTTTCTACTAGCCAGGTGCTATGGGGCTATTGCTAATTTTGCACAATGGCATTGTATTTTATCTGCTCTAGCTCATACTCGGGAGCCTATTCCCTTGTTACACATACGTTACTTGTTGTAAGCCTGTCCCTTTGTTATACAGATTTTACTTGTGGTAATTGGCCCACAGACTCGGCACGCGGGTAAGGACACACAAATGCAGGAATACTTAGCCCAACCCTTTCTATAACGATGTTACTTTTGTAAGCCTACAAACATTCAGTAATACTTTGGCCAACCCTTTCTTTACCGATATTACTTTGGTAAGCCCTCAAACATTCAGTAATACTTGGCCCAACCCTTTATATAACGATGTTACTTTGGTAAGCCAGCAAAACCAATCCTCTTGCTACACTTACTTATAGACAAATACTATTTGTGGTTAGCCAACACTTACCCAACTGGTTAGCAAGCCCATCCTCTGATGATACCCTAAAAAGGTACACTATTCAGAATATTTAGTGATCGTTACAGCTACTTCACACTTTTTCAATGACTAACCCTTCTTTTTAAATGATCACTTTCTATACCGATGTTACTTTGATAAGCCCACAAACATTCAGTATACTTAGCCCAACCCTTTCTATAACGATGTTACTTTTGTAAGCCTACAAACATTCAGTAATACTTGGCTCAACCCTTTCTTTACCGATATTACTTTGGTAAGCCCTCAAACATTCAGTAATACTTTGGCCAACCCTTTCTTTACCGATATTACTTTGGTAAGCCCTCAAACATTCAGTAATACTTGGTTCAACCCTTTCTATAGCGATGTTACTTTGGTAAGCCGACAAACATTCAGTAATACTTTGGCCAACCCTTTCTTTACCGATATTACTTTGGTAAGCCCTCAAACATTCAGTAATACTTGGCCCAACCCTTTATATACAGATGTTACTTTGGTAAGCCAGCAAAACCAATCCTCTTGCTACACTTCCTTATAGACAAATACTATTTGTGGTTAGCCAACACTTACCCAACTGGTTAGCAAGCCCATCCTCTGATGCTACCGTAAAAAGCTACACTATTCAGAATATTTAGTGATCGTTACAGCTACTTCACACTTTTTCAATGACTAACCCTTCTTTTTAAATCATCAAGTAATACTTGGACCAACCCTTTCTGTAACGATGTTACTTTGGTAAGCACACAAAAATTCAGTAATACTTAGCCCATCCCTTTCTGTACCGATGTTATTTTGGTAAGCCCACAAACATTCATTTATACTTGGTTCAACCCTTTCTATAGCGATGTTACTTTGGTAAGCCCACAAAAATTCAGTAATACTTGGCCCAACCCTTTATATCCCGCTGTTACTTTGGTAAGCCCACACACATTCAGTAATACTTGGCCCAACCCTTTATATCCCGCTGTTACTTTGGTAAGCCCACAGACATTCAGTAATACTTGGCCCAACCCTTTATATACCAATGTTACTTTGGTAAGCCCCTAAATATCTGTGTGTATGGCGCTAAGAAATTGGATTTTTTTTTTATCATAGCCCCATTGTCAAATTTGTACATTATTTTTTTCTACTAGCCAGGTGCTATGGGGCTATTGCTAATTTTGCACACTAGCATTGTATTTTATCTGCTCTAGATCATACTCGGGAGCCTATTCCCTTGTTACACATACGTTACTTGTTGTAAGCCTGTCCCTTTGTTATACAGATTTTACTTGTGGTAATTGGCCCACAGACTCGTCACTCGGGTAAGGACACACCAATTCAGTAATACTTAGCCCAACCCGTTCTGTACCGATGTTACTTTCTAAATATCTGTGTGTATAGCGCTAAGAAATTGGATTTTTTTTTTATCATAGCCCCATTGTCAAATTTGTACATTATTTTTTTCTACTAGCCAGGTGCTATGGGGCTATTGCTAATTTTGCACACTAGCATTGTATTTTATCTGCTCTAGCTCATACTCGGGAGCCTATTCCCTTGTTACACATACGTTACTTGTTGTAAGCCTGTCCCTTTGTTATACAGATTTTACTTGTGGTAATTGGCCCACAGACTCGTCACTCGGGTAAGGACACACAAATGCAGGAATACTTAGCCCAACCCTTTCTATAACGATGTTACTTTTGTAAGCCCATAAACATTCAGTAATACTTGGTTCAACCCTTTCTATAGCGATGTTACTTTGGTAAGCCCACACACATTCAGTAATACTTGGCCCGACCCTTTCTTTACCGATGTTACTTTGGTAAGCCAGCAAAACCAATCCTCTTGCTACACTTCCTTATAGACAAATACTATTTGTGGTTAGCCAACACTTAACCAACTGGTTAGCAAGCCCATCCTCTGATGCTACCGTAAAAAGCTACACTATTCAGAATATTTAGTGATCGTTACAGCTACTTCACACTTTTTCAATGACTAACCCTTCTTTTTAAATGATCACTTTTCTACAAGGACTATCACCATCAGCTTCATTACCCTCTTTCAAATGGCTTTTTCTTTCCGTTTCAATCTCCACCTTTTAAAGTACTATCCCAGTCAACTTGATTTAGCCTCTTGCTATACGCTAGCCCTCTCAGTTTTATATATGATTCCCTTTTTCGTGACTAGCTTTTCTAGCTTACAGCGTGACGAGAGAAATATATTATTTTACAGACAACTGTACAAAATTTATTCAGATAAAAGAGATTTAATGCTGAAGTAAATGTATTGTATATGTCACATTATAGATAGTTACTTATAAGTTATTTAGTGCTATACTACTAGAGGTTCAAACAATAAGATTAATACTTCCCTTGTAAACAACCATTTTTAACGGATGTTTATTAGTTATGGAAAAAAAACCACAATGCATTACAGCGTTGTGTGATATGTAGATGATATTGATTCTATAAACAATCTATGATAAAGGAAACCACCACGAACTAGAAACACTACAAATTGATTACACTTAATTACTAATCAATCAGGCTTTATCAAAATTACGCTCGACTCATTCACCCCTGAACACACATTTGAACTCTTCCAATTCAAAGGTTGGTATAGTTTATTAAGAAATTTCAGGTGTGAATGAGTTAATGTTAAATTTGTGGGTAATGCGTGTAGTGTAAGTCTTGATTTTTTTTCTGTAAAAATATACTTTTAACTTACTCACCCCTGCAATTTCATAATTTACTATTCCAATCTTTAAATTGGAAGAGTTCAAATGTGTTTTCAGGGGTGAATGAGCTAACTTCCGGAGAGCTGATCATGAATTCAATAGTCATGTGAATAACTAAGACACTATTAAGCAATGGTACAAGGATTAGTGACAACACGGTAAAACCACTCAAAAGTTTTTATTTAACTTGGGTGGTCAGGGGCACAGTGGACAGGGTTGGACTCCCTGATTACACATGGAAAGGTATTGTGTCACCTGCCTGACCACTACGGTTTGCTCTGGGAACTCTGGTTTCTCTCACACCCAGACTCCCTAGATGTTAACATAAGTTATTAAAACTTGCTTCATAATTTTTTGAAAAATAATAAAGTGTATACATGTATTTATTTCTATTTAAACTATTCTTGGACATTTAAGTTTGATTCTTTCCTCTATAAATTTCTAAGTTCTGTACCAAGAAATCAATTTCCTTGTCATTATGTTTGCAAGCATTGTGTACACATTAAAAGGAGATTGTTTTTCAAATTTATCTTCTCCTTTTCTGTTTTTTTACTCATTAATTTTATGGAACAACTGTATGGATTCTGTTGAATGATCAGGGCAATCACCAAACATTTTTTCCATGAGACAAGTGACAGTAAGTAGGGTCTCGCCCACCGAAATCGACGAAAAAGTAGGATATATATCTGTTTGCAAGACAGATTTACTACAATTCAAACACAACATGAAATAATTAAAGTGATATGTATATATGAAGAACGTACAACTTTGAATGGAGCACTGTACCTAGGAATTCTAGGTCGTAAAATCTTGGTGTGAAACACAACACTATATTTCCATATTCATTGTTTATTTGTATACATTGCAGCCAGAATACATAGTACTTCTATTCTAAAAGTTATTAAATATAAGGACTATTTCAGAAATACATATATGTAGGGGAAGGACTACAGGGAGTCACTTTTTACGGCCTCACCGTCCATAAGTGTTCTTTTCCTGGGGCCAACTTTACAAATGTAAACATTTATTTTAGACCTCATCGTCTATATACTGTATATTTTGGACATTTTCGCCTAGTCAAACTTTCGGCCTTCGCTGGTGAAATCCATATTGGCCAAGTTTTAATTTCGCCCTTCACATTTTATCGTGTTTACATTGATAATATTGTATACTAATGTTCGCTGTAATGATAAATTACCCTCGTTAGGGAGGGCGAAAAAGTCGAAAATTTCCCCTTAAACAGTAGTGCCTTTCTGTCCCTTTCATATCTTCATTTCTGAAATATGTATTTGAAAATGTAAAGCATGTCCATTTCCATATTATTCTATTACATCGAGAGTCATATATGAAATAAAAGAATTGGAGAATGATTCTCTTTAATTGATATCCCTTTAATCTTGATTAATGAGAAATAAATCATTGATGTGGACACACATAAAGACGTAAACTTTTACTACAACACAAGACATAAAACAGGTACGGTATGTATTCATTCCAGTACACAATCTATAGCACTTTCTGATCACTTCTCAATATCGAAAAAAAATCACCCTAGGGGGAAACATTGTTACTGTTCCTGGAAAACATATGTGCGAGCACAGGTCAACAAAATTCTACCGTACGTGTATCCTGTGTTACTTCAATTAGGAATTGTTGATCAGTTTAACTTCATTCAAAGATGAAAATGGACTCCTGGAATCCCTCCAATGGGAAACATTAAAACAGACTATACAGATTACTAATTCTGGAAAAGGATGAAATCAGTAAAAGACTGATTTTTTTTTATCTCTGTTTATTATATCAGAATTGGTAAAGGTAAGCATGGTTTGTTGATCACATTTTAAACACTATTCAGGGGGAAAAAACTGCATGACTTCCTTCAGCGTTTGTTAAAATCAATGTCTGACTGTCATTAACATGGCACAGAGTGTCACTGTAATGACTGGTATGTGACACGGTAAATATCTAAATCACTGGAACATAAAACATCTGAAAAAATGATTTTTTTTTCTGACAAAAAAACAGCCTTTTATTTTATTTCAAATTGTCATTGGATGTTCCTACAGAAAAATGTCTCAATGTGAGGTTTTTACCTCATAAACAAGTTGCTTACTCGGGGGATGTATTACTGTAACGTCAAAACAAAATAGTGAAATGCCATATTTCACCGGTCATGATCCCATGTTCAGTATCAAGATTTATCTAGTTCCTCATTGAGGAATAAGTTCACTAATCATTTTACCCTGCAAGTTTATCACAAGATAATCACTGTATTGTTAGTGAAAGTCAGTAAAGGTGTGATGAGTTACGACTGTAAAAATAACAAGCTCTTTGTAGAAATTCTGAATTCAATGCAAGATAACTCTGTGCAGGGGAGATAACTTCACAAAAAAAAATGTGAAGGGAGATAAATCAGTAGAGAGTTTAGTCAACTTTTCACATGAACGCACTGATCTTCATCACCTAATCATTAAATAAAAATACCATGTCAAAGGACTATAACAGAAGAAAATCAGCTGAGAGTTTCTTTTTCACAAGTCAATCTATCACAAGAAAGCACTAGTCTTTTTTCCTGTGATGTGTCCATTAAATTAAACTTTATGGTCAAAGAGTCTATAAAGTGAAAAATCAGGCAAAAGTTTCTATTTTTAAAGTCAACCTATCACATAAGCAGTTCTGCTAAGATACTGTCCACACATCACTGTCCCTATCTCCACTGGGTGTTCTGTGGGTAGGGCGGCTGACCAGACGGTTGGTTGGGGTATCCAGGGTATTGTTGTTGTCCTGGGTATTGTTGTTGCCCCGGATACTGTTGTTGTTGTCCAGGGTATTGTTGTGGCTGTTGCCCTGGATACTGTTGTTGTTGTCCAGGGTATTGTTGTGGTTGTTGCCCTGGATACTGTTGTTGTTGTCCAGGGTATTGTGGTGGTTGTTGCCCAGAATATGGAGGCGGTTGATACTGCTGCCCCATATAAGGGTTGTAGGGGTTGAAACCAGAGGGCATAGCAGGCATAGATCTGCTTAAGTCTTGCTGCTGGCCGCCACCATAAAGTGGTGCACCCCAACCACCAGGCTGATCTGTTGGATGGAATGACACAATTAATGTGGACTAAATATAAAAGAGACATACACCAGCTTAGTATAGTAGGGTTTATAACAAACAACTAGGGACTTCAATATGCTGGATTTATCAATGTTTCAACAGAGAAGATAGTGCACCGCAAAGCTGAAAGCTTGTCAGTATAACTACAGCGAGATGGTATAAAATTCTGAAGGTATCTCTACAGACCTACTGCATGAGACTACTGTACTGGTAAAAGGCTGTTGGTAACTTGGGGCTGTGGGGGAAGATATACATCAGCTAAGTATAGTAGGGTTTATAACATACAACAGGGGACTTCAGAAATTAATTCAATATGACAGAAGGCAAAACAGGGTTAAAATAATTGTTGATACAATTCGTTGACTGTTGACACAGTAATGGCAATGTTACAGGATTTCACTGTGTGTTTGTAGTGAACACGGTTTATAATCAAATTTATCATTAGAAGACTGGACCTCAGCTCCACAAGTACTTACTGTAGTTTTGTGACGGAGGCTGGCCAGGCGGAGCTGACGGAGCACTTGGCTGTGTACCTAGTAAGACATAGTTGCTCATGTAAGCGACAAAAACACAGCAGGTATAAAATCATATATAAAAGACAAATACAACGGTTCATTTGATACAGAACTCATCTTACCCGGTATTACATCATTAAAAACATTCTCCAATGTAATGATAGATAGTGTTGTAGGAAAACATATAGTTAAGTAAAACATACTGGAACAAAAGACTTCTAATGTTCTTACAAATGTTCATTTCTTTTCTTCATCAACAGATTTTTGATGTCTTTTAGTCCACTCTTACAAAGAGGTAAAACAAAGACTATAAGACTCTTTCATACACAGTTTGCCTTGGATTTTACCAAATTTGAAAACCCCTCGGGTGGAATTTCCCTTTCCTACACCCTTGGGCATGAAGAGTATTTTTCTCTCATTTCACCCACCAGAATAAACTCAGAAACCAGGAAAATGCGTTTGGACTGGCCACAATTTTGAAAATATCTTTTTCCCCCCCTGAGCTTTTTAGACGAAAACAAATTAGCCAGTCAGATTAAGCATATCCCAGTATATGTTGACTATTGTCACTATTAACATCTAACTAATACTAGCAAAAGCAAATCAATTAAACAAACACTGCACACTGTTAATGAAGGAATACCAAGTCACGTCTCGACTATAGGCCTATTAGCATGAGTGTTTGAGTACCGTCTGATCTTTCTGTACAAAACAAGTTGATCAGCTGAACTGATGAATGCTTTTATGTAAAGTTATTGGGAGTAAGACCAATAGAGCCCTGATTGGTTTACCACACAGGAAGTAGAGAAATGTGTCATGTGACCATACCCATAGGTGCTGTGGCTGGTGGCTGTGTCGGGGCCGATGAAAACGAGGGAGGGGGAGGGCGTGGGGGCGGAACTCGACTCGTGGACGTTTCTGATTGGTCAAAAAAGAGAGAAAGAAAAACACAAAGTGAGGTCAGAGGTTTAATAGATTATAGAAACAAAACAAAATTCTATAACAATCTCACAATCTTTACACCTTGCCAATTATCAAGCCAATTTCAAAAAACTTTCTTGCCTCTTCATTAACAGTCATTACTGATTATTGAAGAGACGACATTGAAAAAGACTACTATCAATAGACCTATAACAGTACAAGGTGTGAAGCGGTGAGAAAGTTGTGAAGCACACACACTGCTCTAGGATGGGGTGTTGTTATTGCTGTAAATAAATGACAAAACACCAATGAGAATTGAAAAATGAAGTGAAGAACAAATCATAAAATGAAAAACAAAACAAAAGCATGACTGAGGAGGCAGACACCATTTCTATTGTGCCAGTCATGGAAAAGCTGTTTGATCCTAGGTTATTGTTATGCATGTTTTCGAAGTGAAGCCATTAGAAACCAAGTTTGATCACAATTTTAACATTTGACAATCTGTCCCCTAGATTGTGAAATATATGTTGTGTATCAGTATTAAATAACTTACAACAATATGACATTCTTTGGATTTTTTTTTTTTATATAAAATCTTGAAATATTATATTGCTACTTTTGGTGTGTTTTAGGAATGTAAGAATATTTTTCCCAATGTGAAAATGCTGATGTTTTTTCTCAATCACAAAGGTACACTTGTCTGTGAAAAAGGTTAAAAGTATCAACTCAAGGTAATTTCTGTGTTTCAAATCTGATACCTTACTTCTATCCTGTTGATGTAGTTCTATTTTAAATATCATCACAGTTTATTTCATGGTATCTGATCCTTAAACATCCCACAGTACCATGACCGCAAATATCGTAAAAAGAAGTTAGGCTCAAGATCAAAATTAACCCTGAAGTATTGGGACTGTTTTCTTAGTTGCTCAATATTGCTAGCTTTCAAAATTGTTGATAACTACTACAAATTATTTCTGGCAAAACGTTTCACAGCACACCAATGACAGCATCAAACATGCTTAACATTACCTCCGTTGGGCCCTAAAATGATAGAGGATCAGGGCTACATCAGACATATCAATACAACACATTATTCAACAGGACTTTGTCACTCATTTTACGCTTGCCCAGTCATTCCAGTTAAAATCTCAAAACAAGTTTTACTTTAAATACATTATGTTTGAATTATAATATCCATATATCCTCGCTCCTGTTTTGTTGAAAATGCTCTTAACGTAAAAACAAACTAAAATCAATTTTACTGAAAATATAATGACCTACACTTGATATTTAGAGGCTAATACGTGACTGTTTTTACATCAGACCCTTGGAATGGACTGAACTACCCCTATCAGCACCAACAACCGAAAGCAGAACTCGGCAATAAAGGAAAGCTGAGGTAAGTGTTTGGATATCTGTTCACGATCCCAAAAATTAGGATATCAAATCAAGTGGGCTCAGGGAGAAACTAGACACAAATGCATCGTTAAAACAGTATGTTTGGTACATGTATCAATAAGTAAACCTTATGCTGTACCCAGTAGTACACAAGTTGTTTCTGGGTGATTCATATTTTTATCTCAATATCCTTTTTTTTTTTTTTTCTTTAAATAGTCTGAGTCCTAGTTAAAGTTAGAAAGCGAATGGATACTATTTACAATTTCATATCACTTCAAGATTTTGGGAGTACTTTACCAAGCTTTGTAGTGGAGTACTGTTCATATTTTAAATGTTTATTACACAAAATTCAATGCCAGCACAAGCTCTGGCAGAGTTTACAGGAAAGTTATAATTTGATCATTTAACTCAAGTTTGAGTTTTGGAACTATTTCAAGAATATGCAGCCAAAACTTTTAGAAAACTAAAAGAAAACACTTCCATAGTTTCTAATCATTTGGAACAGATCTATTTCAGTTTTGAAGTTTTCATTTACCTGAAGACAGAATATTAAATATATCAATATTGATTATAGCTTATCAATTGCATTATACTATTCCTGTGGTCCAGATATTTAACAGAAAAATGTTTTCAAAGAATTGTCAAAGAGCTGTGATACTAACCATATCAGACAATAATCCTTCAAAAAAATATGCTGGATCTGTCAATGTTTCAACAGAGAAGATAGAGCACTGCTAATCTGAAAGCTTGTCAGTATAACTACAGTAAGATGATAACAAATTCTGAAAGTTTCTCTACAGACTGACTGGGTGTGACTACTGGTAAATGTCTGTGAAGTCGTACCTGTACTGGTAAATGTCTGTGAAGTCGTACCTGTACTGGTAAATGGCTATGAAGTCGTACCTGTACTGGTAAATGTTTGTTAAGTCGTACCTGTACTGGTAAATGTTTGTTAAGTCGTACCTGTACTGGTAAATGTTTGTTAAGTCGTACCTGTACTGGTAAATGGGTGTGGAGTCGTACCTGTACTGGTAAATGGCTATGAAGTCGTACCTGTACTGGTAAATGGGCGTGAAGTCGTACCTGTACTGGTAAATGGGGGTGAAGTCTTGCCTGTGCTGGTTGTGTGTGAAGTCGTACCTGTACTGGTAGATGGGTGGGAAGTCGTACCTGTGCTGGTTGGGTGTGAAGTCGTACCTGTACTGGTAAATGTTTGTTAAGTCGTACCTGTACTGGTAAATGGGTGTGGAGTCGTACCTGTACTGGTAAATGGCTATGAAGTCGTGCCTGTACTGGTAAATGGGTGTGAAGTCGTAACTGTACTGGTTGGGAGTGAAGTCGTACCTGTACTGGTAAATGTTTGTTAAGTCGTACCTGTACTGGTAAATGTTTGTTAAGTCGTACCTGTACTGGTAAATGGCTATGAAGTCGTGCCTGTACTGGTAAATGGGTGTGAAGTCGTCCCTGTACTGGTAATTGTCTGTTAAGTCGTACCTGAACTGGTAGATGTCTGTGAAGTCGTACCTGTACTTGTAAATGTCTGTGAAGTCGTACCTGTACGGGTAAATGGGTGTAAAGTCGTAACTGAACTGGTTGGGTGTGAAGTCGTACCTGTACTGGTAATTGTCTGTTAAGTCGTACCTGAACTGGTAGATGTCTGTGAAGTCGTACCTGTACTTGTAAATGTCTGTGAAGTCGTACCTGTGCTGGTAAATGGGTGTGAAGTCGTACGTGTACTGGTAAATGGGTGTGAAGTCGTACGTGTACTGGTAAATGGGTGTGAAGTCGTAACTGTACTGGTTGGGAGTGAAGTCGTACCTGTACTGGTAAATGTTTGTTAAGTCGTACCTGTACTGGTAAATGTTTGTTAAGTCGTACCTGTACTGGTAAATGGGGGTGAAGTCTTGCCTGTGCTGGTTGTGTGTGAAGTCGTACCTGTACTGGTAATTGTCTGTTAAGTCGTACCTGAACTGGTAGATGTCTGTGAAGTCGTACCTGTACTTGTAAATGTCTGTGAAGTCGTACCTGTGCTGGTAAATGGGTGTGAAGTCGTACGTGTACTGGTAAATGGGTGTGAAGTCGTCCCTGTACTGGTAATTGTCTGTTAAGTCGTACCTGAACTGGTAGATGTCTGTGAAGTCGTACCTGTACTGGTAATTGTCTGTTAAGTCGTACCTGAACTGGTAGATGTCTGTGAAGTCGTACCTGTACTGGTAATTGTCTGTGAAGTCGCACCTGTACTGGTAAATGGGTGTGAAGTCGTCCCTGTACTGGTAATTGTCTGTTAAGTCGTACCTGAACTGGTAAATGTCTGTGAAGTCGTAACTGTACTGGTAAATGTCTGTGAAGTAGTACCTGTACTGGTAAATGGCTATGAAGTCGTGCCTGTACTGGTAAATGGGTGTGAAGTCGTACCTGTACTGGTTGGCTGTTGGTAGCTTGGAGCGGCGGGGGCAGCAGCAGTAGGCTGTTTGACGATGGACCTCTGTAAGTCTGCCATTAATTCCTCCTTCTCTGTCTTTCGCGCGAAACAGAAGTCGTGAATCTTACTTTGGAGTTTCACCAGAAGTGGAGTTAGATCATTGTAAAACTGCGGGTGAGAAAAACAACAATTTCAACATTTCTATTTTTTTAATCAGGAATAATAGTGGGATAGAGTGATTATGACAGCATCATCTATGTACAGTTTAAGAACTACTTGGTTCTTATTGATTTACTGTGTATAATATTTAGTAATGAATGCACAATCTTCTTGGATTATTATTTGTAAGATGTTTGATTTGAAAATAATATACACCAGGTTATTTTTCATAGAAGTGTCAACTCGGTGATTATCGCAGTGAGATAACACAACAGCTAACATGACCAGTCCAGTAACCCTATCTAACCTATTACCTCAAAACAGTCAACCCAACACAAATAAGTATTTCCACATACAAACCAAAAACAAGGTGAAATATTGTCAGCAATCTATGGTCTGCCATCTTTGGACTAACTTTGGTATGAACAATTCAATGAGCCAATAACTCTATATCAAGAGGAGTACAAGAGGCAAGACAAGATTTCTGTATGTGACACTCAACCATCCCCATAGGTAAGAATAGCTCTTCAGAGCTAATGTTTCAAGTTACACACATACGACAAAAAATAAAGTTTCTTGTAACTTGTAGGTACGCGCATACAAAAATTGGCAATTTTCCGTGATGTAGAATATGACTTAAGAGTTATGCATTAGACAAATTTACAAACAGCAAAATGGGCTATAACTCGATTAATACTATTATAGTGTGACAGGAGACCTTATTTCAACATACCACATTCAGTCTTCTATAGAGGTATTCCTATACAAATTAATTAGGTAACAAATTGTACAAGATAATAATCAAATGTAGTGATGAAAAATTAAGAAAGGGAAGGGCCAATTCTCTGCAAATAGTGTTGCAAAAACCAAACTTCAAACACAAGAGGTACTTGCACACGAAAGTCTGGTAATTATAGGTGTGACCGTATATGAAAGATGCTACAGACCACGTGATGGACTGAGTGAGGGAGGGATTGTACAAACCTGTAGTAATGTGTGCAATCAAAGCTGTATACAATAGACATTTAAATACATGTGACCTACATCTTACACCCACATCATCTCTGAGCCTCTTACACACGATATCAATGTCGTCATAACGAGACATCAGGAGGGTTTACTATCTATCTATAGAGAGTACCTTTGTGCCTTCCTCCAAGTTGCCTTTGAGCTGCATGTACATGTCGAAGCCAGAGGCAAGATCCTTGAGGAGAGTCTCACGCTGGGCCCCTCCCTGACTAGACGCCTTCTCATGACAAAACTGGGTGTTGGCATTCTAAAACACACAAAAGGTCTCGGCTTGAAATGTGCAATATCTTGGACTGTTGATGGTGAAATACCACCTAGGGTATGTGGTGAATAGGTCCAAATCGTTCACTCTCGATTCCCATATCTTCTTGTATTCCACGGGGTATAGAGCAGATTTTTTATCTCTATCAGTAACTAGAGATGTCAGCCAGAGATGGTGTCAAAGCCACCAAATTCTCGCATGTTTAAAATTTTATTGTATTGAAAAATATGATTGTAAAAAATGTAAAGTTTAAAACATTTGAATTTATTGTTTAATTTTAACTTCACTTCATCAATATTTTACCCCACAGGAACCTGTATGCAAAATATCAGCATCCTAGTTCACATATTTAATGACCGACAAGCTTCTAAATAACTTGCAGTTAAAACTTTAACTCTGATGTGCTTCAAAAAAGTTAAGTACAAAACAGGTGGAAAATTTCAAAAATTTGTGAAATTATTTATAAATTTTAACTTCACTACATAAATAGTATATATACCTCACAGGGACCTCAATGCCAAATATCAGCATCCTAGTACACAAATTTAATGAATGACAAGCGTCTAAATAACTTGCAGGTAAAACTTTAATATAGATGTGCTTAAAATAAGTACAAAACAGGTAAAAAAAAATCTCAAAATTTGTGAAATTATTTTGTAATTTTCACTTCACTTCCTCAATATTATACCCCAAAGGAACCTCCATGCCAAATATCAGCATCTTAGTACACATATTTAATGAATGACAAGCTTCTAAATATTTAGGTTGACGTTCACGCTCACGCCAGGGGTAGCGCTATAATAGCTCTCTGTTCTTTGAACAGGCGAGCTAAAAAGGACAAATTCCGGTTACTTGAAAACAATTCCGAACAAGTAACCGGTTAATAGGTCAGACGTTAAACAAACATAAACAACAATACTTTTTTTATATGTTAAGTAAATTTTCCATTCAAAATTAATTTATTATTTTTTCACGATAGTAAACTCACGTATTTCAAGTTCTCAACACTTCACTGATACCATTCCATTAGGTACTCGTATAGATTGTTTTATGTCTCACCCTTAAAAGTGAGTGTTTTCTTTGCAAAGTTGACATTTCATAGCTTTGCAATCTGTTCAGGCTTTTTATTGTGTGGCCGGCATCTCTTTGGCAATCCTTACCATCAACAACAAAACAAAAGAATACCCTAGTAACGGGTCAGCCGAGTGCTGTTCTTATTGCCAAAAAAATCACTGATAGAGAAAATATAGGTATAATGTCAGACTATTCGGTTATTGATTTTGGTAACCGGTTCGCTGTTTTTCAACTCAGTAACCAGCTAACCGTTGACAACCCCAGATGAAACCCATGCATTTCGAACCTTTGTCATATGTAAACACAGTTACCAATCACAGGCATGTGTAGAGGATATCACTTCAATTGGTATAAACCTGCATTGTTTTTCTGAACTAAAATGGTAAATACTAAGGCTTTGCTTAAACTAAGGTGGAAACAAACCTGAATTTTGCCCATGAGAAATTCTTGACTTTGGACGCTGTTGTTGACCTGTTCACGAAGTGGGCCGTACGTTCGGTCCAGCTCAGACATAGATAGTGTTTCCTCGTTAACCAAACCATCAGACGCCATGGCCGCCATGAACTTACTCGCTACAACACAGTAATCGAAAAATGAGAAAAAACACTCTCTTTAAGTTTAGATTTCCCATTGTCACAATCTTAATTTCGGGAACTTCACCTTATAACCCATACAACTGTATACATTGTAATTGATTGACAATCGTTAGTAAGAATAACTTCCTATTTTTGCTTGTTGGTGGAATAACATCCACATAATAGACGAAAGCTCAAGGGACCTTTCATAGAGCTGTCTCACCAAAATGTCACATCCTGGACATTGGGGCATGACACCCGATCCCATTCACATTATTCTTTCAGCCAGCTTATCGGAAACTTGTTGGAGACACATCAAAAAGAACATGTAGATAAAAGTAGAAATTATAAGATAAGACATGAATTCGCCATTTGCCCTGTGGTTGACCTATAAACAGCAAGTGATTTTTGTGTGGACATTTTGGACCCTGAAATACGAACTCAACTGCAGTATTCTCAGGTTCAAAGGTCACAAATTGTCACACAGATTCTCAAGCCCAGTTCAGGTCAAAGGTCACATTAGCATTGAAATGCTGTTAGTGACAAAATGCCAACATGTCAGAAATCAATTCTCTGCCAATCTTACTCATGTCAAATGTAGAGTCCTTAATTTCAGACTCTATGACATCGCGCTCAGCCTTAATGGTGGCCACTTCCTCCATCATTTGTCGCAGACTGCTGACTGCTGGGCTGCTCTGCTGACCACTGCCCCCGCCAGAGGATGGAATGGACTGTTCCAGTTCAGCCTGAAGGACATCATTTACAGAAATATACACATTGGTCGACAAAATCGTCAGTGGATATGATTGTATGCAGTTAGATTAATAAATTAACAGAAATGCAGAGTTATTGGTGAAATCCATCATTTTCGAAGACAAAACCACTACTGCATCTTTCTCAACACTTGACAGGGAATCTGATGAAACCAGAGGTCAAACTCATCGTTGGAACAGATTTTTGTCATTTGTTTAATTGGTTTACAATGTCTGAGGGTATGCTTGTATGGAAGGGAGGACATCCTGACTTATAATACCCACCAAATCAGATTACTGCACTTTACCTGTGGTTTGGAGAGTATAGCTATGGCCTCTTTGTGCTTGGCATATTTCTCCTGCACTACTCGGTCAGCCCCGATGGCCGCGTCCAGGATACTCTTGTATTTTGTGCACTCCTCCTTGAGCGTCTTGGTCAGCTTGTCTGACGGCGTCCGAGACCAACGCTCCTTGAATTGTTCACGCAACTTGTTGTCTGATGTTTCTTCCTCATCCAACTCTCGTGTGGCCTGCCAACAAGCAAATGTAACAGACTCTTCTGATTGGCTAGAAAGTGAATAAGTTAGGATAACATTTTGGCCAAGAGATTCAACTCCTAAATAGTCTCATTAAAACAAATGTCACAATTACTGTGACAGAGTGAAAGTCTAACCCACATGCAGCCTCGTTACAAATAAACTCAATACATAATATGATTGGTCAAAGACTGTCCACAAATAGATGTAACAGCAGGGTGAGCTTATGTGATTGGTCTACCCCTGTCAACAAATAAACGCAACAACTTATGTGATTGGTCAAAGCCAGTCAAATATTTTTAACAGCTAATATGATAGGTGAAATGTTCCAACTTACCAAGTCAGAAAAGACAACTGTTTTTTTGTGTAAACCCTGACATATAGTACACAACTTTGTTATAAGTCCTATTACATGTATACTGATATTTAAACTATAACAATACAGACCCTGTCTCACACCAATGTGATCATGTGGGATACAAAACGCTGTACATGTAGTTCTTAGTTCAACTAGAACTGCCTTTTTGGCAGGAACTGGTCAGTCATGCATTATTCTCAGATCAAATCACCGAATTAAAACATTTAAAAATGGAATTTAAAATATATTTCATCTGTCTTTTTTCCTAGATCAAGATTTCTCGGGTATGCTGTAAGAAATCAGGAATGTGTATCTGTTTTACCTCATCCAAGATTTCCCGGTTACGCTGTAAGAGTTCGGGGAGGTCCCTCATCAGTTTGTCGATATACTGCATGCCTCCCTCCTGCTTTATCTTGGCCGCCTTTTCTAGGACAGACTGCGGCACTTTGTTTCCAGACAGGTCCTCAATGGCAGCGGGCAGGTTTAAGGAGGCCAGGATACTGTAATATTGTGTGATGTTTAAACAAGTTGTATGACAGGAGTGTGTCATATCGAGTTTAATATTATATACACACTCTATCGAATAGGTTACTGGTAGGGTGTAGACCTATTTGATACATTGCGAATCATCCCGGGTTAAGTGCCATAAGAAATATACAGTTTCGTCACACCCTGGTAGAGGTAAACAGTACAAATCCCTCATTCAGCCATAGCTTGACAAAAGGAACAGTCAGTCTTGAAACGTTGTGACACGTTTAATACATACATTGTTTGTGTTTGAAGTCAATCTTTGATATGACATAGCGATGAATCTTATTAAAGATATGAATTAAACATTGTCATAAATATGGTGATCTGATCAGATCTAGAACATCTTTATACATTATTGTACTTGTAAATTACAGTCACTGCAGCTAAGTATTAGCTACCTTTTGTTATAAGAAAAAACACACTTGACCACATGCCTACCTGTTCATGAGCTGTGTGCTTTCCCGTAACCTGCCAATCTCGGTATTGACTATCTGTCCCTTCCTGTTATCAAACGCTGTCATGGCTTCGAAAACAGGTATAGGTACCAGTTTACTGAACAGATCTATTGGTTGGAAATAAAATGCCATTGTAAGATCTGTGACAAAATTTGTAAGACTTCAGCTATGTCCGATATAACCCATCACAATAATTTCCAACAAAAGTAGCACTATTCAGGGCTTTCAATAGACCCTTTAGAGGATCTTTTGACCTCCAAAAAATGACAATGTCATCACTGCTTCAGAAATGTAACAATTATTTTGGCCATGTTTATATTGAAAAGATAACATTAATATGTACTGATAACTTATAACAACTTAAAGGAATCGTAATAGAATTTGTTTGAAATTTACAATTACAAGTGTACTCACAGATATTGTTATTAAATTTACTTGTCCCCAATAATTACCGACAGAAATTGTGATAAAATTCAAAAGAGTTACCAGTAAATCGTTCACTCATTGGTTTGTTTGAGAATGGGATCGACTTTGCAATAACTGCCTTGCCGCAGCTCGGCAGAGATTTCGCGTCCGGGACCTTGTCGTGATAAATAAAGTCATTGTCTTTCTTTGCTGCCTGCAGGTCACGGTTGACTCGCGCCAGCTCATTCTTAAAACAGAATGCACTCCCACCTCTTGTCTGGGACGCACACAACAATTCATTAGCATGCTGTAAAACAAAACAAAAAACATCAAAACTCAAGTCTTACTTATATATGGTAATCCAGTGGACTGTGTGATTGGACTGAATACAAATTATACTAACTTCCGGTCTGTTTCACCACTTCACTCACCTGTAACCTGCTGATCTGTTCACCGTAACACTTCTTCTCGGCAGACACACAGCTCTGGAAATACTCAGCCATCCCGTGGAAAGCTGCCTGCTTCATCACAGCTGTCGCTACCCATTCCTACAAAACCAACAGATATGATCTCATAAAGAGTGACACTTGTAGCCAAAATCAAATTACAACAAGTCTTTAGCTGTTACAGGTACACTGTCATATGTCCACTAGGTCGAACAATTACAGACTGTTTACAATAAAGTAATAATGTTTGTGTGGTCAGATTGTTTATGGGATAGTAACAGTATTTGTGTTGTCAGACCGTTTACAGGATAGTAACAATGTTTGTGTGGTCAGACTGTTTATAGGATAGTAACAATGTTTGTGTGGTCAGACTGTTTATAGGACAGTAACAATATGTGTGTGATCAGACCGTTTACAGGATAGTAACAATATTTGTGTGGTCAGACTGTTTACAGGATAGTAACAATATTTGTGTGGTCAGACTGTTTACAGGATAGTAACAATATTTGTGTGGTCAGACTGTTTACAGGATAGTAACAATATTTGTGTGGTCAGACTGTTTACAGGATAGTAACAATATTTGTGTGGTCAGACTGTTTACAGGATAGTAACAATATTTGTGTGGTCAGACTGTTTACAGGATAGTAACAATATTTGTGTGGTCAGACTGTTTACAGGATAGTAACAATATTTGTGTGGTCAGACTGTTTACAGGATAGTAACAATATTTGTGTGGTCAGACTGTTTACAGGATAGTAACAATATTTGTGTGGTCAGACTGTTTACAGGATAGTAACAATATTTGTGTGGTCAGACTGTTTACTGGACAGTAACAATATTTGTGTGGTCAGACTGTTTACAGGATAGTAACAATATTTGTGTGGTCAGACTGTTTACAGGATAGTAACAATATTTGTGTGGTCAGACTGTTTACAGGATAGTAACAATATTTGTGTGGTCAGACTGTTTACAGGATAGTAACAATATTTGTGTGGTCAGACTGTTTACAGGATAGTAACAATATTTGTGTGGTCAGACTGTTTACAGGATAGTAACAATATTTGTGTGGTCAGACTGTTTACAGGATAGTAACAATATTTGTGTGGTCAGACTGTTTACAGGATAGTAACAATATTTGTGTGGTCAGACTGTTTACAGGATAGTAACAATATTTGTGTGGTCAGACTGTTTACAGGATAGTAACAATATTTGTGTGGTCAGACTGTTTACAGGATAGTAACAATATTTGTGTGGTCAGACTGTTTACAGGATAGTAACAATATTTGTGTGATCAGACTGTTTACAGGATAGTAACAGTATTTGTGTGGTCAGACAGTTTACAGGATAGTAATAATGTTTGTGTGGTCAGACTGTTTATAGGACAGTAACAATGTTTGTGTGGTCAGACTGTTTACAGGATAGTAACAATATTTGGGTGATCAGACTGTTTACTGGACAGTAACAATATTTGTGTGGTCAGACTGTTTACAGGATAGTAACAATATTTGGGTGATCAGACTGTTTACTGGACAGTAGCAGTATTTGTGTGGTCAGACTGTTTACAGGATAGTAACAGTATTTGTGTGGTCAGACCGTTTACTGGACAGTAGCAGTATTTGTGTGGTCAGACTGTTTACAGGATAGAAACAGTATTTGTGTGGTCAGACCGTTTACTGGACAGTAGCAGTATTTGTGTGGTCAGACTGTTTACTGGATAGAAACAATATTTGTGTAGTACATTCATAAAATATGAAATTTTATCCACTGATTTGAACAATGCAGAAACAAAAATTGTTAAATTTTTATACCAATTTGTTCTATCTACTTGGTACATGAATACTACATACAGCTATGACAGCAATCTACACTACAACTTACTGAATGTCTGCCACCAATGACATACCACAGGACAGATACAGAAATGTCTGCCATCAATGACATACCATAGGACAGATACTGAAAGGTCTGCCACCAATGAAATACCACAGGACAGAGACTGAAATGTCTGCCATCAATGACATACCATAGGACAGATACACATGACAATTTGATTACAGGATAGTAACAATATTTGTGTGGTCAGACAGTTTACGGGATAGTAATAGTGTTTGTGTGGTCAGACAGTTTACAGGATAGTAATAATGTTTGTGTGGTCAGACTGTTTACTGGACAGTAGCGGTATTTGTGTGGTCAGAATGTTTACAGGATAGAAACAGTATTTGTGTGGTCAGTCTGTTTACAGGATAGGAACAATATTTGTGTGGTCAGTCTGTTTACAGGATAGGAACAATATTTGTGTGGTCGGACTGTTTACAGGATAGGAACAATATTTGTGTGGTCGGACTGTTTACAGGATAGGAACAATATTTGTGTGGTCAGACCGTTTACTGGACAGTAGCGGTATTTGTGTGGTCAGTCTGTTTACAGGATAGGAACAATATTTGTGTGGTCAGACCGTTTACTGGACAGTAGCGGTATTTGTGTGGTCAGAATGTTTACAGGATAGAAACAGTATTTGTGTGGTCAGTCTGTTTACAGGATAGGAACAATATTTGTGTGGTCAGACAGTTTACAGGATAGTAACAATATTTGTTTGGTCAGACTGTTTACAGGACAGTAACAATATTTGTGTGGTCAGAATGTTTACAGGATAGAAACAGTATTTGTGTGGTCAGTCTGTTTACAGGATAGTAACAATATTTGTTTGGTCAGACTGTTTATAGAACAGTAACAATATTTGTGTGGTCAGACTGTTTATAGAACAGTAACAATATTTGTTTGGTCAGACTGTTTACTGGAAAGTAGCAGTATTTGTGTGGTCAGTCTGTTTACAGGATAGGAACAATATTTGTGTGGTCAGAATGTTTACTGGATAGAAACAATATTTGTGTAGTACATTCATAAAATATGAAATTTTATACACTGATTTGAACAATGCAGAAACAAAAATTGTTAAATTTTTATACCAATTTGTTCTATCTACTTGGTACATGAATACTACATACAGCTATGACAGCAATCTACCCTACAACTTACTGAATGTCTGCCACCAATTACATACCCCAGAACAGATCCTGAAATGTCTGCCATCAATGACATCCCACAGGACACATACTGAAATGTCTGACACCAATGACATACCTCAGGACAGATACTGAAAGGTCTGCCACCAATGACATAGCACAGGACAGATACTAAAATGCGTCCCACCAATGACATACCAAAGGACAGATACTGAAATTTCTGCCACCAATTACATACCACAGGACATATACTGAAATGTCTGCAATCAATGACATACCACAGCACAGATACTGAAATGACTGCCACCAATGACATACCAAAGGACAGATACTGAAAATCCTGGCACCAATGACATACCAAAGGACAGATACTGAAAGGTCTGGCACCAATGACAGACCACAGGAAAGATACTGACATGTCTTCCATCAATGACATCCCACAGGACAGATACAGAAGTGTCTGCCACCAATGGCATACCACAGGACAGATACTGAAATGTCTGCCACCAATGAAATACCACAGGACAGATACACATGACAATTTGACTTAACACAAGTTTGAGATGACATTCATACTCTCAGATGAAACTTGGCCATAATTTTGCGTTATATATCAAATTAAGGAATTTTTATGTACACTTACTTCAGTCCATCCAGAAGGCTATCTATACAACGAATGACTTAAAACAAAATCCATCATTAACACATAAATAATCCTTTAAAATGATTTTTCTAGATCATTTGATTTTTACTTCAAACAAGAGGTCCCAGAGGGATCTTGGTGCCCACCTTTGTACCGTCTTCATCAGTTCTTTGTTAGTTCGATCTTTTCTCTTCTTTCCTCTAATCTGTTTGATCGAGTCATGTTAACAGTAAATGCACCTTGAGGTAACTTTTGATCTAAACTTAATACTGATGTGTATGAAAGCCAACCTTCAAAGTGAGTTTGTCATTTCACATATTTACTAGTACAGTACTTAATGTGAAAGAAATAGAATCGATCATTGCAATATGAGAAAGATCTGTTTAGTTCTTCTTTTAATCCATTTTGTTTTTATGATCAGTCTCAAAATATAACATACACAACGAGGGATCAAGGGGAACCTACATTTAAAATTTGAGAAAGATCCCTCCCGTACTTCCCGAGAAATAGCGATAACAAACTTTCACTATCAAAATCCAAGATGGCTGCCTGTCGGCCATGTTGTTTATCCGATCAGTCTCTAAAATTGCCCTGCACAGCTAGGACCAAGGGGAACCTACATATAAAATTTAAGAAAGATCCCTCTAGTTCTTCCGGAGAAATAGCGGTAACAAACCCACACTATCAAAATCCAAGATGGCTACCTGTCGGCCATGTTGTTTATCCGATCAATCTCAAAAGTTGCCCTGCACAGCTAAGGACCAAGGGGAACCTACATATAAAATTTGAGAAAGATCCCTCTGGTACTTCTTGAGAAATAGCGATAACAAACTTTCACTATCAAAATCCAAGATGGCTGCCTGTCGGCCATGTTGTTTATCCGATCAGTCTCAAAAGTTGCCCTGCACAGCTAAGGACCAAGGGGAACCTGCATATAAAATTTGAGAAAGATCCCTCTGGTACTTCTTGAGAAATAGCGATAACAAGAATTGTTTATGGACAGACCACGGACCACGGACCACGGACGCAGGGTGATTTGAATAGCCCACCATCAGATGATGGTGGGCTAAAAAGCTGATCATAGTGAGTCTTTCTGTGTTAGCTAAAGGGAGGTAGCTTATCTTGGGCCAGAGCTAAAGGGAGGTAGCTTATCTTGGGCCAGAGCTAAAGGGAGGTAGCTTATCTTGGGCCAGAGCTAAAGGGAGGTAGCTTACCTTGGGCCAGAGCTAAAGGGAGGTAGCTTATCTTGGGCCAGAGCTAAAGGGAGGTAGCTTATCTTGGGCCATAGCTAAAGGGAGGTAGCTTATCTTGGGCCAGAGCTAAAGGGAGGTAGCTTATCTTGGGCCAGAGCTAAAGGGAGGTAGCTTATCTTGGGCCAGAGCTAAAGGGAGGTAGCTTATCTTGGGCCAGAGCTAAAGGGAGGTAGCTTATCTTGGGCCAGAGCTAAAGGGAGGTAGCTTACCTTGGGCCAGAGCTAAAGGGAGGTAGCTTACCTTGGGCCAGAGCTAAAGGGAGGTAGCTTATCTTGGGCCAGAGCTAAAGGGAGGTAGCTTATCTTGGGCCAGAGCTAAAGGGAGGTAGCTTATCTTGGGCCAGAGCTAAAGGGAGGTAGCTTATCTTGGGCCAGAGCTAAAGGGAGGTAGCTTATCTTGGGCCAGAGCTAAAGGGAGGTAGCTTATCTTGGGCCAGAGCTAAAGGGAGGTAGCTTACCTTGGGCCAGAGCTAAAGGGAGGTAGCTTATCTTGGGCCAGAGCTAAAGGGAGGTAGCTTATCTTGGGCCAGAGCTAAAGGGAGGTAGCTTACCTTGGGCCAGAGCTAAAGGGAGGTAGCTTACCTTGGGCCAGAGCTCTCGTAGAGATTGTAACTGCATGAGCTTCATAGCATCAGCATACAGGTCCGACAGCTGGAACGCAATCTTAGCCACCATAGACTCCTTCATCTTGTCTGAAACATATCAGCACACACTTAGAACCTTTCTAAGAGACAAGATTCCACAGGAGTGGAAGGGTCGCCTGCTCAGCGCTTTTAGTGAGAAATGTGTTTGGCTTGAGTTAACACGTAAACAAGCGAAAATTGACGGCAAAACGACGAACACCGTTGCTATGTCAAGTGTGATGTACCAAAACATGGGAAGTTAAAACTCAACAGAAAAACCTGTAATATATTTTGAACATTATTGCTTCTAGCATTACGGTACAAAATTAAAAAGGAAATGATTAAAAAAATAAAAAAAGTTCTTGCATTTAATACATAATGCCCTTATTTGGCAATTAAAGACAATTTGGCAACCTAAGGAAACTCAAGTTATCACAAGGAAACCTTGTTTCGGACGATGCAACCGCCGACACTAACAAAGTAATTCCTATATGTCTCGCATTGCAGGCGACAAAAAAAATACCAACGTGGACTCACTTGTCAGAAAGAAATACCAATGATGAAACAAAGAATGCTTTCAAAAATAACTTGAACAAGAGGCCCATGGGCCTTAACGGTCACCTGAGTCTATAGTATTTATTTTTGTTGTTGAAATATGTACCAATTTGAGTAAAAAATAGTATAATGTTAACTTAACTTTGTCAGGACCATGAGCTGATCATTCCTAGACCAATTTTAAGTGAGATCGGCCTATTAGAACTTAGTAGCAAAATAGCGGCCATGGCAGCCAAATTGTATTTCTGATTGACCCGAAAAATAACAACACTTTGTCAGGACCATGATTCGATCATTCCTACAAAGTTTCAGTTCAATCGGCCAAGTAGATCTTTACTTTAAGTTTGAAATAGTTTACCAAAATGGCAGCTGTGGTGGCCATATTGGATTTCTGATCGACCTGAAAAATAACAACACTTTGTCAGGACCATGAGTCAATCATTCCTACAAAGTTTCAGTTCAATCGGCCTAGCAGAACTTGACTTTAAGTTTGAAATATGTTTTCAAAATGGTGGCCGTGGCGGCCATATTGGATTTATGATTGACCTGAAAAATAACAACACTTTGTCAGGACCATGAGGCGATCATTCCTACCAACTTTCAGTTCAATCGGTCCAGCAGAACTTGACTTTAAGTTTGAAATAGGTTTTCAAAATGGCGGCCGTGGCGGCCATATTGGATTTCTGATCGACCCGAAAAATAACAACACTTTGTCAGGACCATGAGGCGATCATTCCTACCAACTTTCAGTTCAATCGGTCCAGCAGAACTTGACTTTAAGTTTGAAATAGGTTTTCAAAATGGCGGCCGTGGCGGCCATATTGGATTTCTGATCGACCCGAAAAATAACAACACTTTGTCAGGACCATGAGGCGATCATTCCTACCAACTTTCAGTTCAATCGGCCCAGCAGAACTTGACTTTAAGTTTGAAATGTAAAATGTTAACGGACGACGGACGACGGACGACGGACGACGACGGACGAAAACGGATAGCAATAGGTCACTTGAGCTAAAGCTCAGGTGACCTAAAAATGAAAGAATAAAGTCAGAAGCTAGACAGTGAATTTCAAATAAGTCATTTTTTTTTTTTGATAATTGCTGCTTATAGGCTGAATTCTATTTCATATCAACACAAACAAACAACGATTAATGCATTGCCAGGGGTGTAAATGCACTAGCCCGAAATAAAATTCTGCTAGCCGGACAAATACAAAATGGATCAAGCTGACAACATGATCACACGATCATTCTCATTCCTTAAAAAAAAATAAAAAAAAATTATCATTAATATTTAATTGAATGCCTTAGAATATATTTTTTCAGCAAAAATATTTATTAAACTATTCCTGATAATCAGATACCGATTTCAGTATTAGAAAGCATAAAAAACAAAAATGGTGGACTTGCGACTTTTGGAGAGATAAGTAAAAGAATGATTTGCAACAAAGAGGGCAAATTTGGTGGTTAGTATAGACTTTCAATGCTGTTTAAGTTGTTAGCAGTGCCTACTATCACATAATAGCACACATGTGAACGGCAACAGAACATGTGTTCTGATAGATATTATAGTGAAAATTACCAGGAATGTATAGGTTAAAATGTTGAATGGCAACCCTCAGGATGATAGAATCGAACAGAAGCATTTTTGTTAGTTATGATATCCTAAAAAAAGTCACTAGCCCTAGGCTAGTAAGCCTCTAAATTTCAAAAGCTGAAAATCTGATAGCCCCGGGCATCGGGCTAGTGAACCCCTGATTGCGAATATATCTGAAACTCATTCACCCCTGAAATTTCATGATGAACTATTCCAACCTTTGAATTAGAAGAGTTAAATTGTCACTTTAGGGGTGAAAAAGTTAAAGCCATGCAGTTGAATTAGTTAACTCTTGAGCTTGGTTAATATCATTTTAATTTGGGAACTTTATCTTTAATACCTAGAAACTCAATCACTGCCCAAACTTATGCTATAAACATGGAAATTTACAAACAGTGGTTATTTTTTATTATCATGCTGTTTGGGTGTTTAAAAAAAAAAGTTTGATAATGTGAAAATTACACCAGCATAAAACATTTTCCAAGCTGAATTGAAATATATCTGTTTACTGAACATGCATTTCAATTCAATGCTCAATGTTTTGATTATATTTTTCTTATCTTTTTTTTATGTAATCCAGTTGTTTGATTTATTTTTTCATGATTATAACACCCTGAAGAGATTTATAGACACAGATAACACACCTGATGCAGCTTTCCTGTAGATCGCCTCCTGTGCCTGCGCCAACATGAGGGCAACCAGGGCATTGAGCGCGTCTGGGTTGAGGTCAGGGGTCGGATCCTGCTGTACATGGGACAACACCACATCCTTCATGTGACCATAGATACCAGCCGCTTGCTGCAAGGTCAAGGTCATAAAGATCAAGGTCAAACTCAAACCATCCTTATTCAATGCTTTCAGGCAAAGTCATATTTAAGATGTTACACTGTACGTTTCAGAGTCAAGCCAAGATTACTTTCTATTTTTATTTTTTTATTTCTGATTTCAATTCATTTGATTATAAAACACAAATACATATGTTTTAAGATATACCCCCTGAAATTCTTTGTATATACATTATATTTTGCATCAAAACTGTAATGTCTGCAAATGAACTGAACACAGAATTTGGACTATCTTACAGATTAATTACAATTAACTATTCTTGACCTGACTGATATTTGTTTAGAATTATGAACAAACAGATGTCTTCTTTAATGCAAAATTTGTATGAAACAAAATGTATGCCTCACTAGTACTGAACACAATCATTTACTCCATCATCCAGACAAGCGTTGACCATTTTAAGAATTACTTTATCTGGCTAACCTGGAAATATTTGGCGGATGTTTTGAGCCCCTCGTCACTATCGTGGTTCTGTACTTCCGCGATCTGAGTCTGTAATGCGGCAATGTTAAACAGCATACACACCTTCTCGTAGTTGCCTGATGCTATCGCTAAAACAGGAAATTCAAGGACATATGTTTAAATGCTATAAAACTGAAAAAGAAACAGCCACAACATTTAAATAATGACTTTTCTACAAAACTTAGCAAAGAAAATGTACAAAGATCAAATTTGAACATGCTTCAGTGAGGTGAAGCCAGGTTTCTCAGGTTTACTAACACATTAAATTAGAAAAAGTTCAGGTCATATTAATTTCAGTTATAGGTAGCTAGGAAAAGTCCTACATATTGGGCTAAAACAAAGTATTAATGGGGACCTTTTTCTGAATTAATAATTTGTTATTTAGGAATAATGTTGCATTAGTTTGAATTTTTTTCAACTAAAGACATGTAACAAGTATGTAAGGTACCTTGTCATCAAACTCGCCCCCCCCCCCCCTCCCCTGTAGCATGAAAAATTATCATCAGCAGACAGAAAGGACAGACTACTTATTACTGACAGGTAGTCTGTCGTTTCCGTCTGCTGATGATGATGATAATTTCATATTATGAGTGATAAGTTATAACATATACACATTGTATTTTTCTACCTAAATTTCACAACAATCTGTTCTCACAAGAATTAGGAAAATGCACAAGTATTACTGAAATTGGGGAAAGTGTACTAATTTTTCTTCATTTTGGAAAAATAAAACACTTTTTTTGCTAGAGGAAAGCCACCTGTATTCAGCTGTGAAATAGGCAAAAAATCACTGATATAAACTATAACGTATTTCATCTTCTTTACCCAAAGTTCTCTTCCCCGAAAACAAGGACTCTTTGTCAAACGCATCTCTCCACTTGAACTGTACTCTGATCTGTAATTAAGGAAGTAGAAAACATGCCTGATGATATAGGTTATAAACACAGTGTATCAGGTATCAGTACAGACACTTAGTTATCTGTTTATCTAAATAACAACAAATTTGATTTAGAAATAGATACCAGTGTGGTGACCTAGTTTAATGTCAATGCACTATGTATTTATATACAGACAAACTGTTTAAAATCTCAAACATTGTCTACATTCTCTGAAGGTTTTTTTTGCAAAGACACTAGAGTCCTGACAGATCAGCAAGGGCCCGCTATGTGCCTGACCAAGCCCATACCGCCTCCCCCAGGGTATTTTCTTTTAAGTAACAGTGATCTTGATTTTAGAAATGTTTAAACACTACTTGAACATCTACATATGTATCTATGTATCAAAGTGTATTACCATGTCAAATTTCAACAAGATTAGTCTTTTGGTTTACAAGACAAGGACTGTATTCCATCATGATCCTTCATGTTTAGGGTTTATTTCTGAATCAACCAGCTGTCTCCAACTAATCATTATAATTGTGACTTCATAGTCACAACCTTGGAGACAGCTGGTTGATACTGGCTGTAAACTGTTTCATTTAATATTTTGTTGACAACACCATCAGAAAAATATAATTAAGGTCTCAAAATTCACAGCTGATTTTAGCAGGTTTACAAAGCCACAATGCAGTGCAAATCTAAATATTTAATAATCAATGTGAGATGTATATTTGTGTATGAAACAAAAATATATCAGATCTCATGGTTTATGTAGCTTATTTGTATTATTACACGATTAGCGGCCCAACAACATAAGAGAGGTCATCAGGGCCAACAAGTGGTCAACAACACAACAGAGGTCATTAGGGTCAACAAGTGGTCAACAAAAACAAAGAGCTATTTGTGTGTATTCATTACATACCTGATTTTCTGCAATGGGTAGTTTGTCTTCAATGGCCACCAGCTGGTCATAATACCTGGAGGTAAACAATATAATAATAGACATTACTTAAGTTTTTATCTCTCCCCATTTCATACAAGTTGATTCATTCAAAGATACATCAAACTGTGTTGTCTGGTCAGGTGGTGAGTAGGGGCGGGATCAGTATTTAAAGCTTTTTTGTATTGCAAGATATTGTGATATTTATGGATATTTATCTATCAGGTTCATAACACATTATATTTATCATCACAAAAGTCCCTAAGTGTATGCTGTACAAATAGAGGTCTACCCGTTCTATTAAATTTATTTAACAGTAAGCTTACATGATAATTTTTTGTAACAGGAAAGAGATTGGCGTGCTTCTGCCGGGGATTAAACCCTAGCCACTGAGCTAAAGGGGTATTCCCTCTAACGCCAAACGAGAAGGCGACTGTAATCATATATATACAGTTACAATCTGCCACACTACTCCCCTTTTTTTTAAAAATAAGTTTGTCCTTGAACACCACAACCACCCAGGTTCTAACTCCCTATCACAACAGGGAGGGCCAAGGACACAATTTGTTCAGGAAAGAGATTAGATCTACTTGCTTCCATCTGGTATCGAACCCATGACCCCAGACTTCCTAGCTAGTTCGACGCTCTACCACAGAGCTAAAGGGAAATTCCCTATAAAGCGAAGCTAGAAGGCGACCATAATCATATGTACAATTATAATCTGCAACATGTTTATCTTGGTACAACACAACATTAGCACCACTTATAACAAGTTTCCTGTGTACAAAGTATTTAAACGATGGAGCCTCAGCATGTGGATTCTGTAGTTTTATTACCGGTTGACATGTTTCGGCTACAAATGTAGCTAGGCTAGTTTCCTGTGTGTATTAAATTGTTAATCCTTGTAATTGTCATCCTATTCATGTACAGAGACTTATCTATAAGGTCTACGGTGCACACCACAAAACATTATCAATATTTATATATAAAAGCAAAATATTTATATTAGATCTTTGAAATATTTCATATCCAGACTTCCTGCATTTTTTTGATGAAGTTTAATTACATGGGTATGGCATCAATGTAAGAATCTATCAGTGGTCTGTGGGTTTTACCACAGGTTCTGGACACACTCATAGTTATACGATGTGTATATATATACTGTAACAAAAGAGGAAAAATGCATGGCCATACCAGGGTTTGAACCAGGGACCCTCCAAACTCTGTACAGACACTGTACAGACACTCTAGCCAACTGAGCTTCAAATTCCTTGTCACTGGCGATCGACAAAGTTCAGTTCCGCTACATTCCTCCGTCTTTTCCTCAAGTCTTTGACCCCAACAACACACAAGACCCTATATACCACCTTTTGTGGGAATATTTTTGGGGTACGAAAAATAACAGGAGAGAAAAATATAACGAGAGAAAAAATGTGCGACAAGACAGGGTTTAAACCTGTGACCCTCTGAATTTTAGGCAGATGCTCTAACCAACTGAGCTACCTGGTCATCGTCGATCGACCCAGTTTAGATCCATTACATTAGTACTATATCCTAGCTACCACAGGTGCTAGACATACAAATAGTCTGATGTGTGTATACTTTACTTTTATATAATATACATACACACATCATATCATCAGCATGCCCAGCACCTTTTGGTTTAACATGATACCATCCCTTTTGTTGTTTTTCAGCAGATCAGCATCTGATTAAAAATGTCAACAAATTACAAGTATCATATGAGAGCGAGGGGATATTTTCTATTCTTCAGAATGTATCGTACTCGAAAAAAGTGACATTTCTCCTACTAAAACATATTTCCATAGACAAATTTCAATACATTCCTAATGACAAAGTCATTCTGACTGGCAGTCACATGCTATGTGACACGGGAATTTAGAAATAACCACCTGCTAAACCGAATTATAAGCAAATATATATACAGTTTGTATGGATCGAGTTTGGTTTGTCTGTGGCGTTGATAGGGCCGTTTTAAAAAAAAATCAAGCACGATTAAAATTTTAAACAACCCGTAAGAGGCAGACTGTATGTGCTCAGTCATTCAATATATCAGTGGTTTGTTTACTTTGCCATAGAGTATCGGTATCACCTGTGTTCAATGACTGACTTACCGGTAGAGGATTTCCAGAGCTGATTCATGTTTGTCCACTGATTTAGATATCATTAAATTTCTTAATTTACTAAATTCATTTAGCGCCTGATTGTAATCATCTGGATCTGCTTGAGTGAAAGTATTCTGAATAAATGTTCTCAATGGTTTTATAAGTTCCACTTCCTGAGTCTGCTTCAGCGGGACAGCTAGGAACACCGCCATCTTGAAAATGAACTGTTTGGTCACATGGTTGTCGTTCTATAAATAGATCCAAATGACGTATTCTATGAATCAACCTCACATTCTGGTCAGAAGGTGTCACGAAGTCATCGCTAATATTGGACCTCGGGGTTGCAACTATGACGACGTTCCATGGTGAAATAAAAACCACATATCATCATGGTCTTATATAATTAGTTACGATTATACGTTCATTCACATAAAAATACCAATGTGTCTTGTTCTTACCAGAGACGTAAGTTATATAATTTAACTTTTTAAAAAGAAATCTTAGAAGAAATAATCTTTTGATTTGGAATGTGCACCTCTCATCTCAAGAAAAAAGGACAAACTAATTTAAGTCATTAGCATACCGGCGAAGTGTCTAAAATTAATCTACTNCCTCTTTACAGCACTTTAATTTTCAATCGGCAATTGTCTCCTTTAAAGTTATATATGAACCGTTCCCTATTGATATTTACTTTGAATGAGAGTTATCACCCTTAGCTAAAATCGGTTATTCCCCTTTATCAAAAGCGCGCGATCCTGATTGATTGATTGATAGCGCCATCCCCGATCAGTAGACTAATGTAGTCTATGCCCTGTCAATCAAAATCCCAGACTTGGCATCGGCAACCAATCAAAGCATAACCCACGTGCTTAGACCGCCCCGAAACTGACACGTGTAACTCTTTGCACGCAGATCATGAACGAAAGCGCCGCCATTTTTAAAAGTTTTGTGAATCTGAAATTCGAACACAGTAAAATGGGAGAAGAAAGACAATGCTAACCAGAGGTAAGTTTAATATCAATAACATATATTAATGACGACGCAATGGATGTTAGTAAATGACTTCCATTGAGAGAGGCATCGTTCTCTTTAATTACTGAATCGTCATTGGTTTCGGCGCGGCCATTATGACCAAACAAAAGGATATTTTTCGACATTCGCACATCGACTGTACACTAGCTGCCAAATATTTATCGAAAGTTCTCTCTGAAAACGTAAGAATTTATAACTACGCATGAATATGCAGTTTTGCATTTTATCTTGCCTAATATGAACCCATGTATGAAAAATATATATATAAATACACTCTTAACCCGGTCTGTTTTATCGTGTTTCAAATCTTCATTGACGTCGTTCTTGACAGTATCGCATTTTTTGAAAATTAATGTGTAAATATACCATTTTGAAGAGAAATCCCACGCCTTTCATAAAATAATACTGAACAAAAGGGCAAACACGTCCGTTTTTTAAGAATTATATATAACGGATCTTAAATGAGTTTTCATTTCATATGATATTTTATGAAACGAGTATTAAACTTACATTTTGACAGGTTTTTAAAGCCAAAATGTAGAGGACTTAATCAAACGGAGACAGCCATTTTGTTGCGCCATTCACAATGTATGACGTCACGTCATTGTCCATATTATGAAGTCACAATCGATTTCTGACTGGCACAACCAATGAAAAACGCTCCAGGGTATATTACACTAGTGATCAAATATTTAAAAATATTACACGGGCGAATTCACTGGATAACAGGCCGATTATGTGATAAAACTTTATCTGCCCCCGGTCTTTGGGCAAGTTCGACCAACGTTGGAATCAGCATAATTATGACGTCATAAAGCATGCAACGTCAGATTTTTTCCCCGCTAATTTCACAACTTTCCATGAGTTGTTGGGGCCGAACCTGCCCCAAATTGATATTTCAATAAATTCGTATATTACAGCAATACTAAAGTCAATGTGAAGCTGTCAGTGTGCTACACTTACGCTATAAATAATAAGCAAGTTCGCAAAACTTATTTAAATATGCAATAAATTAATTTATGAGGCCACACCTCGTCCCAATTTTTTCTACTGCCGATGCCGAAAAGAAGACATTTTTAAATAAGCGAATACTACATGTATTTGAAAAAAATCAAGTGTGTTTTGCCTTGAACTTCCATTTTAATTAATTTTGATTGGAAACAAATATCAGGCAAACAAATCCTGTATTAAAATATACAAAAACCAAAATGGATTCTAAAATGAATCAATTAAATTGCATTGATTAATTTAGGTTTACCAAATTGAAAACATATTTAAAAAAGATGTAGAATTAAACTGCTGCGCCAATTGCAATATTTTGATCTTTATCTTTCTTTCTACTTCTAAATACCTTTTGTTTCCTAGCGCCTTGCTTGGCAAAACCTCACTTTTGGCTTGAATGTTGAGCGTTCGCCCAGATGAGGAAGGCAATGGGTTCAGTCCCAAGGCCGGGACCGGGACATACCAAAGTCCTTAAAAATGGCAGTTGTTATTCCCTGCTTAAAGTTCAGCATTTAGGGAAATGGCAACAACTGGTTCACCCGTTGTCAGTATAAACTGACCGGGTGGAATGCTGTGCTGGGTTCCTTCGGCATGGCATTTCAGTGAGATAGCACTATAAAGTCGGTATCAGATCCACGCTATCATAAGGAGGCAAGCACATCAACATACCCTATCTCCTGCAAACAAACACGCAAGCACGCACACACTACACACATGGAGGCACGTCCTTAAATGCCCTTAGCTGTTAATAGGACGTTAAACAATATAAAATCAAACCAAGTTTTTATGAAGAATTTTTCAACTGCATTTTACTACCCCTAGTTTAGAATTTGGGGTCTGGTCAAATCTGGAAAAGCACTCCCCGGAATAGTGGTGAGTGCAGAAAGGTCAAGCCCATATTACGTTACTGAGATGATGTGGCTGGGATGTGACCAGGGACAGTTCCATTTACCCGGGTTTACAGGTGGTTGTTGGAATTGGGGATTGGGCAGGACGGGGGTTCCTTTAGCTGAATCGGACATACAAGCGATCAAAATTATTAGATTTGTTTTTCTTTTTAAGTTATTCAATATTCAAGAGACGGGGGCCAGTCTACCATTTACCTTCCTTTTTTATTTAACTGTAGCACAATTAAGCAAGAACACTTCTGTTGATCAGGTAGCCCAATCGGTTTGAGCGATACTATAACAATCTGAAGTCACAGTGTTCGAACCCCGGTCTAGCAGGTCGCCCAATCGATTAGAGCGATACTATAACAATCTGAAGTCACAGTGTTCGAACCCCGGTTTAGCAGGTCGCCCAATCGATTAGAGCGTTTTTATAATAATCTGAAGTCACAGTGTTCGAACCCCGGTCTAGCAGGTAGCCCAATCGGTTAGAGCGATATTATAACAATCTGAAGTCACAGTGTTCGAACCCCGGTCTAGCAGGTAGCCAATCGATTAGAGCGATATTATAACAATCTGAAGTCACAGTGTTCGAACCCTGGTCTAGCAGGTAGCCCAATCGGTTAGAGCGATATTAGAACAACAATCTGATGTCACAGTGTTCGAACCCCGGTCTAGCCCCGTACATTTTTTCCCACTTTGAATACTGTTGTTAATGATATTTTGTTTATGTCATCTTATAATCTATTCTCATAAAAGTCCAGCAAGGGGTGATTTTCTATTCAGAAATTATTGATCAAAGAATGTGATGCAGGGATCCAATGAACATTTTATTTGTCATGGGCCACCGTTCAGAATTTTAATGTGTATTCGAGTTGTTTCTCTTTGAACACTGGACCAAATCACCGCACCGAAACTGATGACGACTGTTCCCGGTAGGCGAAATTTGCTGACAAATGTCTATTCGTATTCCTTCTGTCATTTGAAAGTTTACGTCAGACGAAGTTTGCTTTCTTGCCTGTTGCAATAAATCGATCAAGTTATTTGGACCGAATGCTACTATCAAATTCCAGTGTTAGCTTTGATGTGTGTAAGCATTTTCTGCACGTGTTTTCGTCTCCCTGGGTTTATGTCAGTTATTTTGGGAGGGGCCCATGAGCAGGAATTGGTAAAATATCGTCAGTGTTCCCGCATGTATTTGTTTGCAAAAAAAATAAACCCGCAACGTGATTACCAAAACATTTTCCACAAGCTGTTTCTTACATTAAATTGTATAGCAATAAATAAACATTCGTTATTTATGTATCGGTTCCTTCATGGACGGCAATACTTTGAATGTTGCACATGTAACGATTGGAAACTTGTACAAGTATACTTTTTTAATCGAATTGGGAAAATAAAGACTGAAGTTGGGAAACTACTGAAAATCTTTGTTCAAAACCACTTACTTCAGTAGTTTTGAAGCTGGTGCCTTGTCGTTCGCCTATTCAACTTAATACAGTTTATTCTGGCTATAGAAGGTTCGTTCTCCTGGTAGAGCCATGCCCTTTACAAAACAAATATGATGTTCGATTGCTAATTCTTTAATCTGTCGACATGCCTTCCTCTATCTTTCTAGTAGCTGCTGTCTCAAATATTCTATATCATATCATTTGTATTAACTATACAGTCGATTGTATGAAAGTCCTATGTATCTGGTACCTTGTTGTACGGATCATACTTGTGCGTGGCCATACACATTGTACATGTAGATGTATTTCTGTATGTAAACTGATACAGAAATCAATTTTCGATAAATGCTATAAATGCTATAAATAATTGCGGATATCACGAAATTAGATTAGATCGCTATCCAAGTCCTTGCGGATATGCACGATTAAATCAATAATAGTGACGCACATCCTTTGGTCCGGGTGTCCTCTAGCCCTGACACCAGGGTTAGACATTTTGACAGATAGATGTCTGGTGTACATCCCTCTGCTGTTTTTCGAAACCCTCCTGATGCATTCCAACAAGAGTTATCCTTCGTTGATCATAACATCCATTCCGTAAGGGTATTGTTCCATGTAACTAACTTTTGATATACTATATGATTGTACTGCGTCATTCATTGTCATTTGTAATTTTAGGATTTGGAGAAGAAGAGAAAAAGAAAAAGAAGAAAAAAGCACCAAGCGGAGAAATCTCGTAATAAGAAGAGTCCAAAAGGTATATGCTTGTTTATTAGCCGACAGTCATACTGCCCGTAAGTATACTATGTACAATGTACATGTACTCGTTTCATAGCAGACAACCTATATTAATTGATAGGTATCCTAGCTTATTAAGTTTAAT